GGTTGGGGCGGGGGAGGTCGGGGCGGAGGAGGTCGCCCGATAGGGTGGGGGGCGTATTCCAGTGGTAAGTGTGGCTGGCGTGTTTCTGAATCTGCATTCAGCTGCTGTGTCTGAATCAATGCAAATAATTTCAATCGATGTCTGACAGCGCCAGATACTCCCTGGCGTACACCAAGCGCCTCCAGTCCCGCCGGGACTCCCGCGAACGAGAGGCCGGAAAACCCTAAACCCTAAACCCCTAGACCCTAGACCCTAAACCTGCCTCGGAAAGTGATCAACCCAGGTGAGATACATCGTTGGGATGGAACTTGAGCTGGAAGACTTGCAGGCTGGCCATTGCACAGACCACCCAGTAACTATCTACTATTATTATATAGACCAGTCACTGCCAGGCCCAGAACGCGACGATGCAACAGCAGCTGGCAGAGGCCCAGCGACAGCTGGCAGAGAGCCAGCAACAGCAACAGGGTGCAGAGCAACAGTGCCAGAATCTAGCGGCACAAATAGGACAGCTCCAGATGCACCTCACCCAGCAGCAGCAGCAAGTGGCACAACTGCAGGCCCACCTGCAACAACAGCAGGCACAGCATCGCCAGGAGCAGCAGCAAATGCTTCACGAGCATCGACAACAGCAGGAACTGCTGCAGCAACAGCAGAATCAGCAAATGCAACAGCAACAGCAGCATTTTCAGCAGCAGCTTCAGCAGCAGCAGCAACACCAGCAGCAGCAGCTGGACGAGCTTGAAAATGCTGCACAAGCCGAAGTTGCAGAGTTGCGAGGCGGGGTGGTGGGGGGGGGGGGGGGGGGGGGGGGGGAGGAGGGGGGCGGCGTCCTCTCAATAGACTTAGAGCCTGAAGCACATCCCTGCCAGGGCTACTGGAAAGAGAAGAACGCTGGTCCAAAGGAAAGAATAAAGGAGGGATTCACGACAATCAATTGGTTTGTTCCAAGACTTGATCTGCGTTTAACGGCTGCTTGTCTCACCTCAGCCAGGCAGAGGAAAAGACGGCGACAAGGGCAAGAGCTCGAAAGGCAGGGCAAGTGTTGCTGCGATTAATAGAATAATAATAATAATAATAGTAGATCCTGCATCCTATGCCAGGGAGCGAGCCGAAGGGCAAGGCCCTTTGCTGTGGCAGTGTGTTCATTGTGCAGCGCGGCTACACAGAGCAACCTGGCCAGTACAATCCGCACGATCGGAGCCGCTGGTTCTTGCCGGAGTCTGACTCAGCCATGGCCTGAGCGCCAGAACTGTCTCTGTGTGAGTCTGTGTCTTGCGTGTCTGTGGCCTAATAGTACTAGTTGCACATGCAGGAGGAGAATCCCAGCAAAGGGAAGGGCAAGGAGAAAGGAAAAGGAAAAGCCGATGAAAAAGGAAAGGGCAAAGACAAGAAGGGAAAGCAAAAGGCCGGACATAGAACGTCCCACGCACCCTTGAAAGATAACATCTGTGTTTTTTCACATGGACAGGGGAAGGACTGGTCCTCCTTCAACACGGACTCGGAAGTCGCAGCCTCGGTCAAAAAGAGAGAGAGGGAGGGAGGGGATCCAAGACCCTAAACCCTAAACCATTAAATTTGTGGGAGCATGATGGTGACGCAGGACGAAGCAAAAGGCTCCAAAGGGAAAAAGGGCGAGGACGAGAAGGGAAAAGGAAAGGCCGGCAGACTGGAATTACGCGGACACGCTCTTGAACGGGGAGACTCACGTTGAGTGACTGTTGTCTAGGGGACCGGGAAAGAGCCAGCGGGAGTCCCGGCAGCCGGGGCCCAGTGTTTTCTGATCAGAACCACCTTCCAGCCATCAGCAGCTTGAGCCAATCATCAATCAGGCGAAGAGCCCGGTCCTGGTGGAATTCGTTGCCAGGGCAATTTCGGCAAGGGCCTTTTCACTCATCGATGTAACTGTTCAGTCTTAGAGGCACTGCCACTGTGTGGCCCGGACTTCGCCTGAATCCAGCACTTCGGATTCAACTGTCCTAGGTGAACGAAGCCCGGACACCGCCCAAGAAGGCGCCACCGGCGCCACCCCCTGCCAAGATGCCAGCAGTCTGGTCCTCATGCTTCTGCAGCCCTCAGAATGAACACGGTTATCTTCCGTGTCCGAAGGTGGTGGACGTGGACGACTTCCCAATGGCCAAGGCCAGAACCTGAATTTTCTTCTTCTGGTCGTTTGTGACGTCAATAAGCGAACAGTTCCTGTTGCTTGCAGGGACCACCGGTCTCTTTTGGACCACCGGCTGCTGGCAATGATGCTGCTTGGCTTTGATCACCTTGCTAGCTTCTAACGCTAGCTTTTGACCAGTTCTTCTATCTGACTTCGTGAAATGGAGGCCCATGCTCCGCCCCCGGACATCCGCCCAAAGGCGGATTTCGGAAGTCACGGCTTCATCTTGCATTTACCAGTCAGTGTCATACCCCCAAGCCCTGCCAGGCTGTCACGCCCAAGGCAGCCTGCCCGGATGTCGTGCATTTTTTGGAACTTCTGAACCTTGTAATAAACTAAGGCCCCTGGCCCTGCCATGTCTGGTCCACCACCAAAGGTGCAGGACTTATTGCTGTCTCTGCAAGCCACCAGAATTCAAGGCTGGGTAGCTGGAGTTCAGAGTCATCCCAAGGCCGGCTCTTCCTCCGATCCAGCTCCGTCACGAGAAGCTTCCCAGTCAGATGCCACCCGACCCAAGGCTCGCCTGTTCTTGCTTTTAATGTTTAACGTTTCTCTCTCGCACTGTTTCAGGCAGCCCGGCGAGGTCCCAGCCCGCCTAGCCGGGATGGAGATCACAAGCGTGCAAGAGGACTCCTATTGAACGTACACTCTTAGTCTTCCGACTCTGAGAATTTGAATATTCCGTTTTGCAGGACCGCCCCGGTGAGATTTCTGCATTTTGACGGCACGCTGCAAGGGCCAAAAAAAGTCCTCTGCGAGATAGCCAGCTGCACTGCCGTCTATTTGCCTCATCGCCTCTCGCTGAAACCAAGGAACAGAGATACCCCTGGATCGGAATCACGAGCGCCGAGGAGGTGACGATCTCGTTGTTCACGAAAACCGGTCTCACAACTTGCAATAAAAGCTGAGCACCGAACAGCTGAACCCCAGCATCGATAAATTGTCCTGAAGCCTACTACCAGGCCGGCACGCTTGAAGGGCCCAAAAAAAACCTGTGCTAGATAGCCAGCTGCCACTGCATGCCTTGTGTGTGGCAGGGGGTGGTCCTCTCTTAGCATGATCGCCTGTCGCTGAACCCAAGGAACAGAGATGGATCGGATCCAACTCCTCGATGATGACGAGGCGATGTGCCTCGGATGCCATGATAAATCCCAGTTGTTTCTGCCTGACCCCTCTCGAACCCCCACGGCAGCACTGAGAAGTGATCCTTCCCCTCCAAGTCACGAGCACCGAGCAGGTGTCGATTTTTCGTTCCCCGAAACCGGGTCACAAAACACATTCAGCACCGAACAGGTGAACCCTAGCATTGAAGAGGTGCAAATGTGAGCAAACCCCTCCGAAGGATGCATGCTAGTCCTGGCTTGCAGACGATGTTCCGTGACCTGTCATGTGGAACACCATCATGTCATGTCATTGTGACGTTGAAAGTACATCAGTTTATCGTCAATTGTCGCGCAAAGAATCAGAAACAATGTCTTCCTTGTCCGAATCGTCGGACAACACTAGCCATGGATCCAATGAGTCATCCTCTTCGAGCAGCTCGAGATCCGAGTCCAAGTCGGCCACTCCTTCCTCCTCATCCGACTGCTCGAGCGAATCCTCTGACTCTTCGGAGAGTGAGCTTGTGGATGGTACTTTCAATCTTCGGGCTGCCAAAAAACAACTGTTTCTTGGTCGGAGAACTCCTACTTAATGTTAAAGTGCACCTGTGGACCTCTTTCTTACAAGGACAGGCAAGTCGTGATTATAATGTTAGGATGCTGAGGTCAAAAAGTGTGCTGCCAGAACCTTTGCTGACGGATGTGCAGAAACGCTATGTTGCCGGATGGGGCCGGGACATGGCCAGAAGATGCGGTGGCTACTCTTCATTATGTGTTGTTGACAAGCTGTCTGTGCAGTCATGTGTCCTCAGACAGAAGCCACCATTTTGCCCAGGTGTACAGCCCTTCTTGGATGCAATGACGGAGACATGGACGATGATGTCCGACTGTGTTTTGACTGCATAACATACATGCCGCCACACTTCACACCACGAGTTGGAAGCAAGGCTCGGGCGCGGAAGGTTTCTCGTGGGCATTGCAGGAGCTGCTGGGCAAACAGGCCAGCCCTCGAAGTGATCATCGGCCATCTAGTCTGTCACTTGTTGTGTATCCGTGCAGACACAGAGTCTGAGATGTATAGAATATACGTGTCTAAATAGTCAGTGTTCATCATGCTCATGCGAAGGTCCGGCTGACAGCTTGCACCGATCACGCTTGCGGTCCTCTCAAATTTATTCTTCGAAATTGCAAGCCGCGAAAGTTCCTTGGACATTATACTACTTCCAAATAGTCGTCTAAGAGACTTCACGCGGCATCTTCCAGTCAACAGCAAGTAAGGATATACACCTCAATGACAGATCGTGATTACACCGGCGTGGAGGAGTCGCTGGTATACAGTGCCGGCTTTCCCTGTCAGCCGTGACCGAACGGGAATTACATTAGATTTGGCATTTGCAGACTGTTTCCTTACATCCTTTCTCACTCTCATGCTCCAAAGCCTCAAGGTTTTCCTCTCTTCGTGAGGGGTGTGCTGGCCGCAAGTATTTTTCCGAGCCCAAAGCTCGGTGCTTCCACGATGTGCTCGAGGCGATTCGAAGGCAAGTGAATCAGTTAAACTATAACGGTCTCCTAGTTCCCTGCTCTCCCTTGCTGGCGATGCGAGGGTACAGCCTCTCGTGGCTCTCTTAGAGAATGTGCGTGGCCTGCTGAGACACTGGGACACTGCCGACACCTCAGCTCGCCAGGATTGCAGATCCTGTTTTGCATCATTGTCATATCAGGTCTGGACCCACATGGCGGATCTCAGGAAGCAGTACTGGATTTGCAAAGTGCTAATCAACCCCAACAAGTTGGGATGCCCTGTGTCCCGTGGCAGAGTCTATGTGGTGCTGGCGAAGAGGACACTCGGCAACAACGCAAGACCTGGCCGGGCCTCTGGCCAAAGGCTACGCAGCAAGCTGAAAGCTGAGGACCGTGGCGAGAACAGGAATCCAGTCTCACGATGATCTGGAACATCGATGCCAAGAGGTCATGCGCAAGCTAAGCACCAAGGAGGTGCATTTCTCTGTGTATCTTGGTGTGGACACAGGGTAATGCTGCTTTTCTGCTGTTGTACTGGTTCGGCGAAATTATTTTGCAGCGACTCAGGTCAGATCTTATGCTGCCTGACAACTGCCCCTACAATCGAACCATCTGTGCAGCCTTGAAGAAGCTTGCTGCTTCCCGTCAGGGCGGGAAGGAGATTGCCATAAGGCAGGATAATCACTTTGTGCTCACCTGACGTTTCGTGTCTGCCGTGCGACTGCAGGAAGAACGTTAGGAAGCCCAAATGGGTGCGAAAGCATTTGCTGAAGATGAAGAAGCTCCAGGCGCGGTGGCCCTGCCTTCACCCGCAACCTGAAAAATACCATCACCGGATCGAGGTTTCCATGGACGACCTCGTTGATTGTCCATCCGCATCCAAGTTCCTTGTCTCTCAGAGGCATCGGCACGCTGGATCCCAAGTTGCTATGGTGTTAAAGAATATTCATCATTATTGTTATTATTCTTATTGTAATCCCGGTGCAGTGCCCAGGTCCTCTCCATCTTTTGGACCTCGGGCTTCCGTGGAATATTGAACGTATCGCAATCTGTGGATAGAACAAACCCGTCCGATGAGCAGTGCCCATGTGTGACGCCAAAAGCGCTCATATGGCACATGACCAAGAAACGGGCTCTCAACGGCGTCGAGAAACTTATCTTTCAGGGCTTCCCGGTCGATAAGCTCAAACTTACCCACATGGACGAGAAAGAACCTGAGCTTCAGCAGTGTGCAGGCATTCACGGGGGCTGAAGTCAGGAGGGTATTATATAATAAGATCTCCCCAGGAATTGCACGAGCTCGGCGGCAATGTCCGCGCCCTCAGCAGGCGCCGAGATTCAGACAACAGTTGCGATAAATTCAACTTTTGAGGCCGTGCACACACGGGCGGCAGCTGCTGCTTTCTGCTGTGCCTTTCGCAGCTGCGACGCTAGCCGCTTCGTTGCGGCCGCTCGGGAGAAGAGCCTGGCCCCCTGAGGAGAAACATGCGGCCAGTTCGTGGGTGGAGCAGGTTCCTTGCAATGGTTCCACCGCACGATGTCTTTGCAATCTAACCTGTGAGGAGGCATGCAAATACGGCCTGGGGTTCGCGATCAAAGTCATTTGGTACTTAGGATGTCCAGTCAGTCACAGTTACTGGAATCAGCAAGCTTGTGTTTGTCGTGCCTGAGACACTGGTGGCTACAATGAGCAAGACAATTGAGCTACAACTTTGCTAAGCATCGGGACTCTTTAGCAGCTCACCCCTCCCATGGCCCCGCGGCGTGCCGACAAGCTTGGACCGGGCCAATGAAATTTCAGCCATTTGTGGCTTCGGACTCAAGCAGCTCGTCGAGCAGCGATTCAGAATCTGATGCCTCCTCGTCTTCCAGCAGTACGTCCAGCTCCGGCAGCTCATCGCCTTCGAGAAAGAAGACGGGGCGCTGTGACTTGCTCCTGTCGCAGCTGTCCATGTTTCCAGGCGAAGCTGAGCAAACTGGCTCTGTTGCTGCCAAGAACGGTCGGGACAGCAAACGGATTAAGAAGGCAATGGCAAATCCCTGCCAGTGCCGCCAGAACTGCAGCAGGGGTCTGAGTGTGAGGGCCGTCCAAAGAGCATGCTGTTTGTTTTGGGGCCTCACCAAGGCTGCTCAGGACTGCATACTTTGGTCAATTCAGGCCGGAGGTGGCTCCGATAAGTCCCGCTCGAAGTCTGGTTCTTCATCTTCGGCTTCTGGATTCGATCAGTCCGCCTCGAAGACTGCTTCCGAATCTTCGGCTTCTGGCCCCTCTTCCTCCTCAAGCAGACGAGTGCTTCACAACTGGTACATCGAAGGCCAGGCTGGCTCAGACCACTGCTCGCAACGCGCTTTAACTGAAGCTTTTACAGACATCTTGCCACTGCCAGGCACCAGGGTGTGCAGGCAGGCATTCATCAAAATCCTGGGCATCAGCGGCTGGAGACTGATTCGAACGAGGAAAAACTTCAGGGGGCTGGATGCTCGTACCTACAGTGCCTTGGCCGGCAAACAATCCGGGATGGTGTTGACAAGCTGTTACAGTGGCTCGGCAAGGCCAACAAGGGCGGAAAGATGCCACAGCAGCAGCGAGTGTCACCAGCTTCCTGCAGAAGACTTATTGGAGCCTGGCTGAGACTCTTCCGCACGAGCCTCCTGCTTCGCAATTAGTGGCACTGGAGCGTAACGAGGCATGTTTCCCGTAAACTTTCACTTCGCCGAGGTTGGACGTGCGGGATGCCTCCATATCTAGCGCAGAAGGTCAGCAGAAGCTGCTGCAGTTACTGGTCGACGCTACTTTGGTTGCGGACTTGGAAAAAAATTCCTTGCACACGCCGCCGTCGAAGCTGGTTCGACGGTACCTGCCACCTGGCCAGAAGTCCGACCTGTTCCACCTCTACTGTGCACACCAGATTGCCGCCAACCAGCCGACCGCGAGCATCACAACTTTCTACAGGATGTTCAAGCCCTGGAGAAAATGCCTGCGAATGCGTGGCAAGTCGCAACATGCCGAGTGCTCCGTGTGCCAGAGGCTTCCGGTCTGTGTCAAGATAGAACACGTTTCATAATTTTCGTGCAATGATTGTTCAACACAGACTTTTTTGACTTACCACTGGCGGATTTGCAGTTCTTAGGCTCAAGGCAAAGATCAAGCATGCCAGAGGTGTGCAAGATCACCTGGAGGCGTGTGACAGGCTCTACCGTCACTTAGCCGGCCAGTTCCGTGACAGGAGCTGCTACTGGTCTTTGAGGGCCAGGGCAAAATCCGAGCGTGACATGCTGGTTTGCATAACTGACGGTATGGATCGCTCCAAATTCTGCCTTCCGAGATTCCAGGAAGGCAGAATCCCCAAAGACTGCGAGGATCTTCGCCGACCTCGCTGCAATCTTACAGCCACAATAGTCCACGGCAGAGCCATATATGTGGCAGTGTCAGATGAAGATCAACACCATGGTGCTGCGTGGAGTCTTGAGAATCTCAACAGGGCACTGGAACTTGTCGCCTTTCTGCATGAAGATCGTCTTGCAGCTTCACGACAACATGCCTCAACCCTCGACCAGTTGCCATCCAACCAAGGCATATCAGCAAGGCCAACGGACAGGGCACCCGTGGCCAAGTGTTCTCAAGATTTTCTCCGACAATACGCCCAAGGCAGGATTGTGCCTGGTGCTTCAACCGAGCGACAACCCCTGTGTGGCACTGAACTGCCACTGATAAATTGTCGGACAGGAGGTGAAGAACAGTATCTTTGCACGCTGGTGCGCAGCTGCCACGGCATGCGGTCAGTTCGACCATATCTCCATGGAGAACCTGGTCGTGGGTCATACCCACGAGGATATTGGAGTCTCGTCTCAAAATTTATTATGTTTCTGGAATTTACCTTTTCGTGGTGTTGGGTGCTTGTCAGACGGCTTTAATCCAAGACGCCTTTTTTGGGCTGGTGTGCAAATTCCTGCGAGATGCGGACGATGCCATGCTACTCACCGGTCATTTCGACTTTGCAGTTTCACACGGTGGTCGTTGGCTGTGGCACACTCTCGTTTCTTGCCATCTCAGGCAGACGCCCTCGGACATCATCAGGTGCGGTCCTGACATAGAAACGCATTCAGCAATGACGATGTAATGTTTCCTGGCTGACAACCCATTTCCTTGCCATGCTGGCTGAAACCTAAGGCTACTTGAGTCAAAGGTGGCTCCACTCATGCGCCGGCAGGGAATTTGGTTCAAGGCCGAGTATGTCAGCGACATCCGTTCCTGGGGCGACTGTGTTCCCGACTACGTCACCTTGGAGGGGGGCTTCAGAAAAAGGAACAGGGCCGATCTGAAAGAGACCCCGCATTCTTTCACCTTCATCAGACGCTCCAGTTGCCTGTCTGCGACACTGCAATGTGGGTTTTGTGTCACACAGCTTCAAGTGCTGGGCATCAATCCGAGGCATGCCGAATTCCCTGCTCCAGAGGGCCACGCCAGCACCAAGAGCACGCAGATACGGCTCTGACGACTCCGATGTGTTCTGCCTCATCAAGGAGTATGTGGCCGACAGCGAGCTGAGCCAAGATCCTCTCCTGTGCTACCCCGGGGCGAAGAAAAACGATGCCCTGGAAGCCTTGAAGAAGATAGCCAACGCCGAGGTTTTCTGCAACCTGTTTTTTCCGAGTGTGGCTACGACAAACTGAGTTTGTCAGGAGGCCAGATGTGCGTTAGTCATCTAGCCGAGGCACTGCAAGGCTCGTCACCGAAGCCCGTCAGGAGGACCCAGAAGTAAAGCTTGCAGGGTTGAAAACTGTCATGCAATTGCAAAGTTGCCCATAGGAGCTGAAGTTCCTCTCGAAGTACCTGCTCCAGAACTACACCACATATGAAAGATGCTCGCGATATCTTTTGCAGCTAGCAGGACAGATAGCCTGGCCGCCGAGCAGCCCACCCATCTTGCATTATGTTTTGGCCTCGTCAGAGCCTTTGGCCCGTCGTGTACATGCTGTGCTTCCCCCTGACGAACCGCACAATGTTCATCAGATGAGGGCGGTGTTTAGAAGGCGTTAGATTTCAGTCGTGGCAATAAAAAAAGAGTCCTGCTAACCATGACAGTCAGTGTGGCCCCGAGTGGGTCATTTAGTTCATTTTGTCAGTCCTGCCTTACTTGCAGATCCGATTTTCAAGCATGGGGTCGGGCCCGGCTTTGCGTGGACCATGACTACTCCGCAGCAAGCACTGCAACGTGTTGTCGTGTCCAATTAATGTGCAGACTCAGTGTGATCCCGAGTGGCTCAGCTCATTTTGTCAGTCCTTGCAGATTTTGAAGCATCCTCTGGGACCCGCCGTTGTCACGGACCATGACTGCTTTGCAGCCTGACATGATGGCAGCAGATGTGAAGGACACATGCTTTTTTGGGTCCAATATAACTCTGGGCGTCATCTTTTCATTCTTGCAGGAGGAGCCTGGTCTCACTGGGAGTATGACAATCCCGGACAAGATCATCCGTGCCATGGAGGAGGCTTGAACAGTGACAGCACGGTAGCCAATTTCGAAGACATGCAAGTTGCAGGTGTGCAGCAACCAAAACTTTGGTGCCTGGATCTACGAAAAATATGGCAGCGAGTCTGGGCAGAAGATCCTGGCCAAGGACAGGATCATAGCCCTTTCCTGTCTATATATTATGTCTAGGGTTTTGGACAAAAGCTCAGTTGTTCACTCTCTGGCAGTACATGCTGGAACTTTGGGCCGTGGACAACGTTGCCGACAAGTTGAGTCAGTGCCAGAGGGGCAGCTTGTTGAAAACGGTGCCGGTGGCGAAGGCACACAATGTCTACGTGGCACCGTACATGCTGGATCTTAGCTGCGAAGCGAAGCATCCAGGCAGCACTCATTTTTTCGCAAGTGTGAACTTATATTATCTTGAGACAACGTGCATAACATGCATTGTGAGGTACGGAGCCAATGGGAAGTGGCCATCCAACTCCGCAGTGAGGTCTCACTTTGGATCGATCCTCGTCGGGTACGAGTCCCACCGAGAAAGTCTCGAGATCAAGTTCCATAAGGCCAACCCTGACCAGACACTCAAGAACTTCAGTGTGGGATATGTCGACGGCCATTGCTGCTGGGCTGCACAGCGTTTTTGATGGGTCACGTCAGGTTAAGATTCATCCATCTCAGCTGAACACGACAGGCAAGGGGACCTGTGTGCAGGGTATCTTTGCCCTGATGCATCACTTGGCTGCTTGGCAAATAATCAAAGGATAGAAGCTTTCTTCATGCATTTTTATTATGTTGTTCAATCGGATTTGCGAAGGAGATCTCGGCGTGCGATCTGTCGCAGGACGGGGCCATGTGCTCAGCAGTGGCCAGTTTCAAATACCTCCGAGCAAACTTCACGCCTCAGAAGAACGAGGAAGAATATTTGTTGGCCTCCTTGTGCTGCCTGAGCTGCAATATTCGGGGCAGGCAACGACTCCATGCTTGTACTCCGGGGCTCCCGACAAAAAAAAACCGCAGTATTCCGGCCTCCCCGGCAAAAAAAACCGCAGTACTCCGGGCTCCCCGGAAAAAAAAACCGCAGTACTCCGGGCCCCCCGGCCGGAAAAACGCAGTACTCCGGGCTCCCCGACAAAAAAAAACGCAGTACTCCGGGCTCCCCGGCAAAAAAAACCGCAGTACTCCGGGCTCCCCGGCAAAAAAAACCGCAGTACTCCGGGCTCCCCGGAAAAAAAAACCGCAGTACTCCGGGCCCCCCGGCCGGAAAAACGCAGTACTCCGGGCTCCCCGGCAAAAAAAACCGCAGTACTCCGGGCTCCCCGGCAAAAAAAACCGCAGTACTCCGGGCTCCCCGGAAAAAAAAACCGCAGTACTCCGGGCCCCCCGGCCGGAAAAACGCAGTACTCCGGGCTCCCCGGCAAAAAAAACCGCAGTACTCCGGGCTCCCCGGCGGAAAAAAAAACCGCAGTACTCCGGGCTCCCCGGAAAAAAAAACCGCAGTACTCCGGGCTCCCCGGAAAAAAAAACCGCAGTACTCCGGGCTCCCCGGCAACAGAAAAACCTGCATCGCTCATTCCAAGATCCCTTAGAAGCCCTGAGGGGGGGGGGGGCCCGGGGTTTTCATAATCATCGACTCAGTGAGAAAACCATGCACCACAAGTCATGGGACTCGGCCCGCAGAAAATGCAGCGAAAATTAAAAACCACAGCGTTGCCAGTAGGTTTTTTTTTTTCTCGAGTGGTTCTCGGTCGGGGGCCCCCGACGGTGAAATTTTCAGAAGGCCGAAAACACCTATTGAGACTACTGTGGTTTTTAAATTTCGCGGTGTTTTCTTTTGCCGGGATCCCGGACCAAATCTTACATGGTTTTCATCACGATCCCCGTTTTCAGTGCCCTAAAAAACATGGAGTTTTGGTTGATACACGACTAATGAACCCTGAACCCCAAGTAACTCTGAGCGAAGCAACTGTAACTGTAACTGTACATGACATGCATCTGAGTCTTGGCCAACCGCACCGCGGAGAAGAGCAAGCCTGGTCCCTTGGAACTCTTGCTGACGTTCAGGGAGGCGGTGCGGTGCAAGCGCCAGGCCCAGGAGAAGGCGAACGTGTCTCTACGCGAGCTCTTGAATCAGTGTGTTCAGGAGTACAACAAAATGACGCCGTCCAAAGTTGTGTGCCGTCATTAATACGTTTTGTTTTTTAATTTAATGTCAGTGCACAACAGAGAACACATGGTTTCCTCGCAGTCACAGAGTAGTTGATGCCGAGGCTTGGCACGTCAAGGATGCTGTGAAAAAGCTCATTTACAATTTGCTGAGGGTCCCGGACCAGGTGATCGACTGCTTCCGGGCCACCTGCGACGCCTACAAGTGGGAACTGTCGGCGTTCACCATGGAGAACTTGGACGGCAGCTTCTATGTGCCTGGCACCGTCCTGGGCAAGTGCCAGGAACCGTGGCTCAGCATCAAGGCCAAAATTCCTGCGTGTTGCACCATGACAGTTGCAGCAAGCATCTCAGCACCGACACGTGTCATAAGTGGGCATGTTGCAGCTTCGGCGCCAGCACCGAAAAGGTGAAGTAGTAGCATCCATCTCAGTGTCGAGGTGTGATCTCACGTTGCAGCCTCGCTGCCAGCGCTGCAAAAGTTGAAGTGATGTCAGCACCGAGAGGTGTCGTATCTGGGCATGTTGCCGCTTCGGTGCCAGCACCGAAAAGGTGACACAGTGACAGCAAATGGACAAAATTCTCTTGCCCAGTGTTGCACAACTGGCAGACCGTGACTGACGTTGCTGTGGTGCTCTGGGCACAGCGGGCATCGGGAGACCACAGTGCCAAAGCGCCCCGCTCCAGCACAGCCAAGCAAAAGGACAGAAGAAGTGCCTGCTGACATGATGTCATTTAATTAATTAATTAATTAATTATTCTTCCTTGACTGCTTCCTGTCAGAAACTTGCGCAGCGAGACGCAGCCGGAATGCTGACCCTTATGGAGATTTGCTGCTTGTGGGTCTTCATCCGGGAGGACTTGCAAAAATACCTGGGCCAGGGTCCTGCCTGGGACAATGTCACCAGGATGTGGCAGACGGGGAGCCTGGGATCTGCACTGTTGCTCCACTGCTTGTCTCTCAGTCCGTCGTGTAATCATTCCATCTGGAGTGGATCGTACTACACTGAGGGCACTGGACCCCGAGCTGAACGCTCACTGCAAGGGCATGACAGAGAACTTCGACTTCAAGAAGTTGAGTTTCGTGCTGGAAGCAAAGGGCGAGTTGATCGACGCGGACCTTCGTGCGGCCCAATCCACAACCCGGAATGCCCTGAGGTCAAGCCTGCAAGCCGCGTTTTCCCTCTTCGTGGCTCAGCTGGTGCCTTGGAGGCATCACGACGAAAATTTCAAAGTTCAAGTCGAATTTAAATTAAATTTAATTTAAAAGCCACTATCCGACCCAAGGAGAATGACACGACGGAGCACCGGAAGTGGCTCCTGGCCAGTGCCGCCGAGGAGCAGAAGCAACGAGGCGCCATCACGCAAAGCCTGCAGGCCCCGCTGACCTGGCCTAAACACGGGGGCCTCATCGCAAATTTCAGAACTCACTGACAGGAGATGCACACCTCGGCATGGAAGCTCGTCAACGAGCTGCTGGAGGACGGGAAAGTGCGATTCCTAACATATTGGGATTCCTTACAGATTCAAAGACTGCAGAAGTAGGACAGCTGCCCGGTCTGGGCATGCTATGTCTCCAAAAAGAGGAAGGCGTCCGGCGAGGTCAGTGCCCAGGCTTCAATGTAATCGCTGAAAAAAAATCCACGAAGAGTCGGCCATCCCGCCAATTATCCTTGACATTTTCTGCAGCATTGTGTCAGCTAAGAAGCAGACGACGACACGGACCTCTCCGCCAAGCTCGCGGCGATGCTGGATCCCTGGGTTGCTGGTGCTTTCGAGGGGATGCACGGCGGCCTGCGCCGGCCCGACCGGGAGCGGGTCATCGTCTGGATCAACCTCTGTGTCTTCGGGGTTGTCAGCGCTGGGCAGCAGACATTTCTGCTGCAGTGGGTCACGAAGTTGCTCCACCAGCACGGCAAGAACTCGTGCGCGATGGTGATCTTGCCGAACCGGGCGGGGGATCTCCGATCGTACAAGTGGTTTGGCCTGCTTGTTCGTGGGGCTGAGAATTGAATGTCGTAGGATAATAACCTTACAATTATTATTCAATTCAGTCCTTGCAGCTCAGGACCGAGAAGGCCGAGGACGACGACCCGGGCGTCAAAGACTGCAAAGCCGAGTCAGGCGCGAGATTTTGTTCAATCAATGTCGACGTGCTTCTGAATTTATGGCAGGAGACGAGTCCGCGGAGGAGATCGGGGAGGACACGCCGGAGGGAGACTGCAACCTCCTCGTGGAGTTCTGCCACAAGCTCAAGCTGAAGTTCATGGAGCACGATCGGCACCTAAAGGTTCTGGTCTGGGCCATGTATTGAAGCACATGTCTTTTTCGGTTCCTTTCTGTCAATTGACAGGTGAAGCAGACGATGATCAGCTTTGCCAACGACACGGTGTATGGCTCTCGACAGGGCTTTCACGAGGCCCTGTTGATTGTCCCCGCGAACAAAGGCAACGCCTTCCTGACCTCCAAGTTCTGGAAGACAGGTGTCATTGCAGATGTCAGCATGCTGGCCAGACCCGACTTCGTGAAGTTGGACACCAGGGTCAAGAAGGACGAGGCCTTCGGCGCCGGCTCGGTTCGACTCACACGGGTCCAGGAGATGAAGCAGGCTGTGTTTAGATGGCACATTCCCAGTAGCACTGTGATCAATGTCGTGTAAAAGCAAGATGAATCTCACACCGTGACAGCCCCTGCAGCACCTCGGCGGCCACTCCGTGGTGAGCAGTGTCCTGGATGGATTGCTCAGCAATGTGCCCAAGGACACTGCCACGATCCTGCTGGATTTCAGTGGCTCTGACGCATGGCCGGCCAGCCAGATTCTCCGTCGGCTGACGAAAAGCCCCTGGCTCGCAACAGAGAGTTTTCAAGCAGGTCGGACAGCTAGCAAACAGCAGTCATTCTACAGTCCAGACCCAAAATCACTAAAAGAAGCACGAACTTCGGAGACCGAGGCGACAAGTACGCCGTTGCTACTGTCTGCCACTCGGCCATGGAGGAGAAGCACTGCAAGACCAGTCTCGGGCACTATGCCTTCTCCCTTGCCCGGCAAGGCAAGCTGAAGCTGACCGGCTTCCCGGACTTCGACAAGGCGACAGGTCAGCTCCGAGAGACGGCAACGGCAGCCACGGTGCCTAGTTACGCAGTCACCGTCGCAGTTGGCCGATCGCTGGTTGTGAAGGAGGCGCTGAAGCAGCATTGGCTGGCACAGTCCGACTTCGCAGGCCAAGCCCGAGATTTGTTCGAGGCCTTCGACAAGGAGTTCAACCCGGAGAACTTGAAGAGAGGCGGTCAGACCTCGAGTGAGGAAAGCGCGGCGAAGAAGCCTCGTCTGAACTTGGATCTCGAGAAAGCCGGCTTCTTGGAAGCAGCTGACGTGAAATAATAAATGAGGTCTTGCTTTTAAGTACAGATTCAGGCTCGGTGGAGGAGCTCCCAGGCGAGGATGCGACCGCTTTGAAGTGCGGGGCTTTTACCTTGACCTGGACGACGGATGAGGGCAAGATGTTCATCCACGCGGATGAGCAATGCACGGTCAAGGCTGGCACAGAGCTCTTTGGCTTTGGGAATGGCGAGTTTGCCACCGACACTACGGCCACAGACGTGATGTCGGACCAGATGGGGAAGTGGATCGCCTTCGACCTCGCTGGCACCGATGTGTTTTTGGTGCTTGAGCCCGACACGAAGCTGCCCGACCATCTGAAGGACCTTCCGGTCTTGGGCAAGGCCGCTCGGTTAAACATAATTTCTCTTTGTGCAGATTTCTTCCGGCTGCCTTGCAGCAAGGTTACAGATCTGCAGGCCATCCTGCGTGCTTTGGAGGATGCTGGCGAGGTGGAGGTCAACGTCGCCGGTCACAGCAAGGATGATGGCTTCGTGCTGAAGCCTACTTCCAAAGTCGTGTTCGTCCTGGAGGACAAGGCAAAGAAGTCCAAGAAGAAGAAGAAGAAGGCACGCGGGCCGAAAAAATAGTATAATCTCGGAAACTGCAGTTGCCAACAATTGATTTATCTTTAAGCTTCATGTCATGTCAATGTGTCAGGGCCCGAATGCTGTGTCCTGGGGCAGTTTGCTGACAATGCCCAAGATCCGTGGTCAGCGCAACATCGCGATTGGATGGAGGATGAGGCTTTATTTTGTTTGCTTTTCTTCCCGTGCCTTCTTGCAGACTCGTCAAGTGAAACCTGGCCCCTGAAGGTTGAGCATGGAGGAAGGATCTTCCGAGAGAGTTCTATGCCCTGTCCGACCCATAGCGGTCCTGAGCGGGGATGTGACCTTGCAGTCTGGCAAGGCGATGCTGCTGATGTAGTTTCGCTGCCAAACGCCGGGCACAGCGTTTATTCCAGAGTCGTTACGATCAGCTGGCTTGGCGAGGCACATGGATTTTGACAATAAGAGCTCACCCCACTGCCTAGACTCTAGCATAATATCGGGGCCAGGGCCACCCAACGCCTGCCAAGCCTTCTGATTCACATTGTCGTGCCAGGTACTCTTGGGCTGAAAAGAAAACCTTCTTTGCACCATGACAATAATCAACACCGCCTGCTTGTTGCATGCACGAAAAGAGGCAGCTTGGGCATGTGGCCTTTCAGCTTCAGGTCTTAAAGGGTCGGGGCGGTTGGGCAAACATGTCCAGCGCCAGCAGCGACTCCGACGAGTCCTCTTCCCCGGCGCCGGGCAACGTGCCGACCTTCGATGTGCAGTCCTACCTGAAGGGTTCCGTGGACAAGAAGAATGCAAACGAAAGTGCTCCGGCCTCTTCCTCTGCTGCAAACCCAGCTGCTCTCTTCAAGAAGTTCGTCCAGGCAAGCAGCACTGACAGTGACAAGAAGAAAAGTTCCAGCGAGAGCGAAAAGAAAGCCAAGAAGAAGGACAAGAAGGACAAATCGGCAAAGGATAAAAAGGACAAGAAGAGCAAGAAGGACAAACCAAAAAAGTCGAAAGACAAAGCAGAAAAAGCGGCAGATGACGTGAACAAAGTTCTGGGTCGGAAGAAGGGCGACGACACCACGGATGACGAGGGCAGCCCTTCCGACTCATGCGAGACCAAGAAAAGACCCAAGAGGAAGGCAAAGGCGAAGGCCAAGAGCAGAACGACCCAGGTGGATAAAGCAGCAAGAAGAATCAGAAGAAAGCAAAGAAGGATGACACGAAGAAGAAGAAAAGATGCCTGGCAAGCGCTGAGGACGATGCCACGCAGGATGCTGTGTCTGAAAAGAAGGACCAGGATTGTCTGGATGTCAGCTCCGAGGACTCGGACATGGCAAGACGACTGGACGAGGAGTTGCACCTTGCTCTGGTGAAAGCCGAGTGGGCAGAGATTGTGGCAGACTGCAAGGACTGCAGCAGACCGCCGAGTCTTGGTCTCAGTGCCCGATTGAATAGTTCTTGCTTTCTGCAGGACCCGCCGGTTGAAGCCCGGGAGATGGCCGTGCCCGCCAAGGCACATTCAGAGGAGAGTGTAAGCCGATGCCTGACAAGTCTTCTTTCCGCAGGAGACCATGTTTGGCTCCCAGACGAGGCAGGTCCTTGGATCTGAACCGGCGCCGAAAGCAACAGCGGAGGCCCCCCAGGAATCCGAGACGACGATGGCTGCAATGGAGACAGATTGGCTCGAGCCCGAATCCCCGACGGGGACTTACGACACCTTTGGATCCGAGACGATGGCGAAAGCCGCGCAGGCCCTTGCAACGAGTCACATCGTGAACGATAAGAGTCTAGAGTTTAAAAACAATTTAAAATTAAAAGTCTTTCGGCAGGAGCCAAGCGGCAGATCCGAGATCATGATTCCCGCGGCAGCAGAGGCGCCAGTCATTCTATCTGACGTGCGTTCAATTCATGGCCAGGGCTAGAGGCTACTGGTGACAATAATGCCCATCGGGCAGGCCAGTGTCCCAGACATGCTGAAGGCCTGGTGTTTTCAGCCCTGAAGAGGACATCAGTGCAGATTGCTTTCGCAGCTAAGCAATAATTATTACACAGGTGTGTGCCACGCCGCAGAACCAGAAGCATGCCTGCCCCGACGTGATTCTGGTCGAGAAGGATTGTGCACAGAACTCTGGAGACCTTGCTTTCTGTCATCAATTTGCCAACGTGATCAGGAAGCAGGCCGTGAAGAGAATGCCAGCGACAGCCTGCTCGTGCATCGGTGCGACGAGGGTCAGGATATCGAAAGTCCCGACGAGAAGACTGCGAAGCGAAGCAGGAGATGCGGGGTTAGGCTCGGGCAGTCAGTTTGGGCACCGAGAGGTGTGCACGATTCCTGAGGAGACCAAATTAGCACCGACAGGTGTCAGCAGTGTCAAAACAATCTTGGCCGAAGCAAGGTCAGCACCGACAGGTGTCTAAACGGTTACATGAAACCATACGTGAACACGGACCACAACATGATAAGGAGTGAGAGTGAGAGCTGCAGCCCGGGAAGGATTTCGAAGAGAGAGAGAGAGAGAGAGAGAGAGAGAGAGAGAGAGAGAGAGAGAGAGAGAGAGAGAGACAGACTAAGAGACACAGAGTCTGAAGTTTCACATGCCCCTCTATCATTCTTCCGACAGAGCGAGTAATCCAGTTGGAAGGGTGTGTTGCGGTCGTTGCTTGTCACTGAATGTAAACCCAAGAAGCGACTGGTCAACAGGAGCTGGAGCAGCAACTGGAGGATCTGATGATGCTCGAGGAATCTCGCGAGGACGTGAAGGCCTTTTCTATAATAACGGAATGAAACGGCTGCATTCTACTTGCCCTGTAAACTACTTAATTTAAAGATGGCACTTAGCCAGGACCTCACCGAGCCCACTCTCCCGGACCCGGAGCAGACACAGACCCAGGCCAGCAGCAACGCAACGCATGAACATTACGGATACTCTTTATCTGGCCTCGTAGTTTTGAAAATCTGTGAGGCCTTGGTGTGCTTCCTGCCCAAGAATGACATGGCCCAGCAGGCATGACGGGTTCCATGAGAAGGATTTGCGATTGTGCATTATACTAAGGTCAAGGATGCACTTCCGCCGATTCCGACGCAGCTGGTCTTGGATGATGCCAAGAGCAGTCAGGATTTGGAGGACTTGGCTGTCTGCTTTTCAGTGGCAGACGGGTGATAAGCATTTTCACGAATTTGATGTTTTTTGTAATGGTATGCAAGGAGGGAGACAAGGCAACTGGGCCTCCGGAGAAGAGCGACGCAGAGGCAGCGACTCTGTCCCTGTGCTCAAGTGCTTCCTCCTCATGCACAGTGCAGGAGGTGCCACCATCACAGACCACTACCCTGGTCCTGGGTCAGTCCTCTTCCATGTCCGACTTGTCCTCCGAGGACGAGGCCAAGAAAAAAACACTATAACCAGTCAGTCAGTCTAATGACTCCAGAACACCATGTCCCGACAGGACACGAATCGGATTGCGGTGCCCAAGGCCAAGGCCACTCCCAAGGCCAATGCCAGTCCAAAAGCAAAGGCCAAGGGAAAGGCCAAAGCCAGTCCCAAGGCCAAAGGCCAAGCCAAGGCAAAGGCCAAAGCCAGTCCCAAGGCAAAGGCCAAGGGAAAGGCCCAAGCCAGTCCCAAGGCAAAGGCCAAGGCAATGGCCGAAGGCCAGCGCCGCTTCGGCTGTAGCAAGTGTCGCTCAGCGCGACACGGTTGCCGTCAGTGCCGCGGCTGGGCGCAGACGGGGTACCGCGGGTACTGGCGCTGCAGCGTGAGTGGGGCGGTGCGGCACGATCGTCTCGACGTGGTTCCTTTTTGAAAAGGGGGAAGAGCCGATCCGTGACTCTGAGAATGGTCGCCAGATTTGACACTGTGACTGGTCGTCATAAGATGACAGATGGCTTCAGAATAAAATTTTTCCAGAGATACGAGTCACGGAGACAGCGACCACTTTCGAGACGACAGTGCCAGGTATCAACTCCCGGGGACACGAAGGAGCGGCGCGATGAGAAAACCAGTCCTCTACGACAGTGTGTTCAGTCTGTGAACATGTGATTCTCCCACACAGTGCCATGTGTCTGGTTGTTGTACCTCTACATGAGGCTCAAAAGAAGTCGGTGTGACATGTGACAGATAGACCCACCCAGGCTGACATGACAGAGCACATTCAATTGAAATTGCTGTCCTCATCTGAGTGATGCTGTTGTAGAATTCTGAGAGCTATATTCCACCGACTGCAGCCGACCTCCTGTCCCGGCAAGAAAGCTCGTGGAATTTACTGCTTAAGGGGGGATGGATGGTTCGGTCGTGCCTGTGTGACTTTCCAAACAGTTGCTGGAAAGACACGATGTCAAAGGCGCCGCATCTGCTTAGCACGGCGAGGTGACTGAGCACTGTGAAGTGACAGAGCACTGCGAAGTGATTGAGCACTGCGAAGTGACGGAGCACTGCGAAGTGACCGAGCACTGCGAAGTGCGTGAGCACTGCAAATGCGAAGTGAGCGAGCACTGTGTCAGTGAGCACTGCGAAGTGCGTGAGCACTGCAAATTGAGTGTGCACTGCGAAGGGAGTGAGCACTGCAAAGTGAGCACTGCAAAGTGAGCACTGAAAAGTGAGCACTGAAAAGAGCCTTCGGCGACTGGCCTGAGGTAGGTCGCAGCACTGAGAAGTGGCCACTCCGCCCCAGGCACCCGCCGAAATCCCACCCCCACAACTCCCCTCCCTCACCCCCCCATCCCTTGTGAAGGCCGTGGCTTCTTCGTGAGGCTCCTTTGCACGGTGCCTTGGCAGAATGATAAGGGCTTATGGCTGTCTTCTTTGTGTGTCGAGGCACATAACGCAACCGGTTGCAATATGTATTTTCTCGTGGCCAAACACCCAGTCAGTCAACCAGGCATTTCAAGCGTGTCACGATCCATAGATTTGAAGTCTTCAGTGACAGTGGCCACTGCTTGTTGACTCAAACCACGGCAGGAAAGCAGGCTGCGAAGCTTATTAGGCTCAAGAAGATTTGGAATTATTACCCGACGCCGGTCGTTGCAATGGCTCTGTCTTCCAGCAGCGAGGGCCAGCAGCCGCAGCAGCGGAGTCCTCTGGAGCTCGCAACCCTCTTTCGGGTACAAGCAATGCTGTGGAACATGCCCAGGCCAGGTAGCCAGGACTACTCCGACTTGACGGAGTTTGATCTTGAATGTGTTCGCCACGCTGGTCTGAGTGCTCTTGAGTACTTGCAGAAGTCCGACGAGCACCTCAGAGTCCACTTGGAGGAGATTGTCGACACCCTAACCACGCTCCGTTATGGTGTTTCCTCGGGCGGGGATATCGAGTACATAAGGACAGCAATGGTGCCGACCCAAAAGAACCTGCCGAAGCACTACCCTGTCTATATGCAGGAGCAGACACAGTATGCCTTGCTGATGCTCGAGAAGCATGACAAGCTCCTGAAGCAAGGCATGACACGCGAGCAGGAAAACTCTGTAGTCTTCTTTACGCAGTGCCTGCAACGTCTGCTGCAAAAAGCACAGACAAAAATGACAAGGCGCAGGTGAATGCTGCAGCTGCCGTGTCTCTTCTGGACTGAGAGCGCTGATCCGCTGAGTTCGAAAATGGAGCCGCCAGCCCGCTTATGAAAGTGACGTGACATCATGGCTTTAGACTTTAACTATTATTTTAAATTGGCCGACCTTTAACAGGACCCGGGCACATGCTGGAAGATTTTGGCTCGCCTGCTACCAGCCCCCGTGCTCTCGAGGCATGCCGCTGCCACCAGCACATGCCAGCATGGGGTTTCTGACCCGGTGGAGCATCGCTCTGTCCCGTGAGGACAAGTGGTGGGTGCTGCGCTTTCTGCGCCGACGCCTCATGGCGCACTACCGGAGCATTAGCTCTGTGCGTCTGGAGGGGCTTCTGCGGGTGGCGTATCAGGTGAGGGCCCGTGATGATCAACAGCAACTTGCACTCACGCACATGGCAAGGTTTTAGGGCTTCCGCTTTACATGTACATTTTTTCTATAAATAAATGATTCTGATCTGTCCTTGTGCTTCATCACCACCCCAACCGAGGTTCCGACTTCTGCACCTCCTCTACCACCACAGCGAGTTCACTCAGCCTGGGGCAAAGAATATGCTGGTGGCAACGCGTCTTTGCGCTCCGGAATGGACACAGCTGCGAAGCTTGGAGAAAGTGCCCGCTGTCTTAGAAGCAGCGACATGTCTGCCTCAGAATGATATTACTGTTTCAAGGCTAAGGGTTTAGGGTTTTTAGGGTTTAGGGTTTAGGGTTTAGGGTTTAGGGTTTAGGGTTTAGGGTTTAGGGTTTAGGGGATTATAGTAGTGCTGGGTAGTACAAGAGTTCTTTTTTCCCATGTCGTGTCCATTGAGGCCCTGATGATAGCAGTCGGTGACGACTTCTTCTCCGACTTGCTGGTTCATCTGGACTACTTTCTCTACGTCCTGAATCTCCTGTCTTGTGCCTTGTCTATGAGCAAGAAGACTTGTCGGAAGCCTGGAGACTTTTTTTCCACCCCAAAACCCATTCAAGTCTGAACTATTAAAACTCTAAACCCTTGTCAGACCTGGTGCACCTGCAGCACCGCACGGTCTACGACATGGACGATGTGCTCGGAGCAATCGACGCTGAGCTCGGGAAGCTGGGCGGCGTGTAGGGACGGCTTCCCCACTTTTAATTAAATACCAGACATCAGATTAAATCTGATGGAATCGCGTGCTGCGCCGTGCATGCAAGAACTTGCATGGGCAATCCCTGGACCACCAGGCCTGAACTGTTTACGCAGCTGCAAAAAGAATCAGCGCGGCTTCCTGCGGACGACCTCTGTTTTGAAGTGTCACGATGTATGACTCTGCTAAATGCCCTGGACCCCCAAACCCGTCAAACTGAGTTTTGGCCCTTGCTGAGGTTTTGACACCCGCCACCTTCGGCCTCGCTTCCGGCCTGAAGTTGTTCAACACGCCTGATGAGGCTGTGCGAGTTTCTTGGCTTTCATGTCATTTATTATTATTTTAAATGTAATTTGAAAGTAAAGCCATGATTAATTCATTTGTGCCCCAATTGATATTCACAATTTCTTGGCCGTCCGGCGCCGACGAAAACCCCGGCGGAGGTGGTGGATCGTACCTGCATGCAAAGGTGCAGCGCTTCATGGATGATGCCAAATGGGTAATTCTACAAATTCAAAACAACAGCAACTTGCACTCACGCACATGGCAATGTTTTAGGGCTTCCGCTTTACATGTACATTTTTATTTCTGAGTCTCTAAATAAATGATCTGTCCTTGTGCTTCATCACCACCCCAACCGAGGTTCCGGCTTCTGCACCACAGCGAGTTCACTCAGCCTGGGGCGGGCAAAGAATATGCTGGTAGCAGTGCGTCTTTCGGGATGGACTCACTTGAGAAGCTTGGAGACAGTGCCTGCTGTCTTAGAAGCAGCGACATGTCTGCCAGAAGGATATTTCAAGTTTCAAGGCTAAGGGTTTAGGGTTAAGGGTTAAGGGTTTAGGGTTTAGGGTTTAAAGGATTTAGGGTTTAGGGGTTAGGGTTTAGGGGATAGTAGTGCTGGGTACTCACAAGAGTTCTTTTTCCCATGTCGTGTCCATTGAGGCCCTGATGATAACGGTGACGACTTCTTCTCCGACTTGCACTGGTTCATCTGGACAAATTTCAATCTACGTCCTGAATCTCCTGTCTTGTGCCTTGTCTATGAGAAAGAAGACTTGTCGGAAGCCTGGAGACTTTTTTTTCCACCCCAAAACCCATTCAAGTCTGAACTATTAAAACTCTAAACCCTTGTCAGACCTGGTGCGCCTGCAGCACCGCACGGTCTACGACATGGACGATGTGCTCTACTGCTGGTACCTTCAGCTGTGATCTTCGCGCGCTTGGCTGCTTCGAGGTTCTCCATGATGCGCCTCTTCCTGCAAATGCCCCCGCAGCTTAAACTGCCTGAAAGCGAACTTCAAGACGAAATGGAAGAAATCGCTGGCCATTGCATCCTGCATTGTCAGGCCAGGCTCCGTCTGCACTGGCTTCGCGCAGACCGACGCCTGCACGATCTGGGCCGTGGACCCGCATGCCACGGCTGGTGATGGGAATACAGATTCCCGGCGCACGCTCAGGTCGGGATGCGACATGTGACAGAATTGTCCTTTAACTTAATTTACTTTCAGGACCGTTATTAGATGAACCCTGCACGTTAAGAGAAGCATGTCTCATTAAACGGATGGACATCAATCAGACAAGCGTCTCATCGAAGCTGAGCGCTTGCCCCGACTGCAGACTGATAAATGTCGACTTATTTGTCTGCTGTGAGTGTGTGTGTGTGTGTTAATTGCTCCATGTTGGATATTGGCCACGAGGTGCTGCGAGAAATGTGCCGCTGATGGCATTGCCAGGTTGCCAGGGGGCACCCAAAGGCAAGCTGTGGTCGGCTTGTCGTTGGGGTGGAGACTGACAGTGACAAGAATTCGCCTGTTTGCCGAGAGCCATTTTGCGTTCGAGGCAACGTTGGGAGTTCGGGTTCGGTGGGGGGCACTGTGCAGATGAACCCTTCATAATAATATTTAATAATATGCTGGGCCTGCCTTCTTGCAAGCCCGTGCAAACGTGATCTCGACCTAGTAGACTCAATTAGTTCTTAATTATTATAGGCGATGCCGTCGTAAGTGGAGAAATTCCGACGTGACCCTCAAGAATGATAATTATAGGTCTTGTTTCTGCTCGACTGTCACTATGACTTTCTGTCAGCCACGATCCAAGCGAGTCATTGAAAGTGTGTGTCACAGACACTGCTAGGTAGCAATAATTACATTCCATCGCATCTGATTCTGTGCAAGGCAGGTGCCCACCGCTGCGCGGACCACTGCTGCAGGAGGCCGACTGGGAAGACCACGCTGTGTCTTGGAACCCTCTGCGTAGTGGATTTCTCTGCCTGCATAGTGGATTGGGTGTACTTGCTGCTCAGTGATCAATGTCCCCAGCCTTGAAACTTGGCATCGCCCGACGACCGTCCCACTCATGGTGCTGCTCGTTGTGCGGCAGCTTCTGCTCCTTTGGCAAACGCTGCAGCAGTTGCTGCTCCAAAGACCTCCTGCTCCTGCAGCAGAGTCGGACCCAGGCCCCTCGCGCAACGCAGCTGAAAGACGAGAATCTTCGCCTGCACCCTGTCCATCGACTCCGTCGTTCTTGCGCTCCAGCTCCGACATTGACCTAGCCGAAGGCGGCGAATCTGAGGATGATGCTGCTGCCAGCGATGCACTCATGGAGCTAGAAGAACGTCTTTTCGGGACGGCCGCCAAGAAGCAAGTCTGCAGCACTTAGTGCTCTACTCTGATTCTGGTTACTGATCCGTAATAGAAAAAAGAGTCGTGAGCAAGTTTTGTGCGAGGCCTCTGGGTCAGACCCAAGTCAAGTAAGGCCCACGCAGGATGCAGCTGAAAGACGAGATCCTTCGCCTGCACCATGTCCATCGACTCCATCGTTCTTGCGCTCCAGCTCCGACATCGACCTGGCCGAAGGCGGCGAATCTCAGGATTACGTTGCTGCCAGAGATGCACGACTTGCGGACCCGGAGATGGACGAACTACTTTTCGGATCGCCAGAAAGAAAATCCAGGTCCAGGTCAGGGTCGCGGACAAGGTGACCCGGCCAGCAAGTCTGCAGCACTTAGTGCTCTACTCTGATTCTGGTTCTGATCCTGATAAAAGAAAAGTCCCGAGCAAGTTTGCTGCGAGGCCTCTGGGTCAGACCCAAGTCCAGTAAGGCCCACGCAGGATGCAGCTGAAAGACGAGATCCTTCGCCTGCACCATGTCCATCGACTCCATCGTTCTCGAGCTCCGACATCGACCTGGCCGAGGGCGAATCTGAGGATGACCCTCCTGCCAGCGATGCACTTGTGGAGCTAGAAGAACGAATTTTCGGACCGCCAGAAGGAAAAAGATCCAGGTCCAGGTCTAGGTCGCGGACGAGGTGACCCGGCCGCCAAGAAGCAAGTCTGCAGCACATTAATTCTGATCCCGATCAATCAAATTTGGCCACCTGTGTGGCCTTGAGCTGACAGTTCACTGTCGTTTCACTGCGACTGTGAGTGCAGCGCAAATGGCACTACCTGCCAACGACAGCAACGCTAAAAGGATGCCACTGGTAGCACTCAGTCTGCTAACAGACTGCGAGCCTGTTTCGTTTCGGGGTTGACTGTTTAATCTGTTCTGTCTTCGAGACAGTGAGATGCATAAATACAAAACGTCATGCGAGGCCACCAAACTTGGCAGCAAACGACGTCGAGAGCCACGGCTGACAAGAAGGCACGGGTTCGACTCTACTGCCGTGCTGTATTAAGTAAGTGTTGGCAGCCATTATTATGTGGACGGGTTTTCCCGCGACACTCAGCACCGAAGCATGGTTGACAAGCGGATCAAACTCGCCATACCTATCACCACATGTCATGTTCACCACAGGGATCTTGAATATCCTCAAGCCTCACTTGTAAGTGTCTGGTGCTAGTCTGTTGGTGCATGGCTGCTTTACTCCGACCCTGGCTTGCTGGATTGCTGGATGTCCGCCAAGAAGCGCCCGGTCGAGGCATGAACGGCCGGCGTCCGAAACCCCAATCCCAACAGCCCATTGATCATCTAAGTCCCCCATTTCCCTGAGGAAGATGAGCCAAAGAAAATCGACCCCTACTCCTTCGATGCTGTCGCTGACACACGTTTCTTCAAGTACTTCGACGTAAAAGCGCCAAAAAGGAGACCCAGACCTGCCGTGTCTTGGTCCTGTTCAGTGGTGCATTACATTCTGTGAGATTGTGTGAGTGCTGAATTTTGTCAACACCCCAAACCGACCTTCTACCATTCGTGCTGCAGGGGGCAAGAGAGCCGGAGAAGCCGCCTGCAGTTCCAATGGCAGCAGTGCCAGAGCGGCCGCCTGGGCCTGCAGTTCCAATGGCGGCGGTGCCAGAGCAGCCGCCTGGGTCTGCCCCTGCACCGCCGCCAATGCAGCCGGTCCCTCACGCCGGTCCTCCGCCTCGTCGCAAAACTCCAAAGCCACCGAGTTATCCACCCCCGAACCATCTGCTCATGCTGTCAAGCAAGTGCGGCGCTACATGGTCTGTTGGTCATGGCAAAGGTGCCAGGACCCGTGACGGGTTCACACGAAACTCTGTTTCATGGCGGCCGATGCACTGACTGACTGTTGCCCCTCGAGGATCGTGGTTGGACCGCGCTTCTATTCCGATCCGTCCCCCGAAGCGATGCCGCTGTCAGCACCCTCTACAGCACACGGTTCAGGGTCGAGATTTCTTTCCGAGGCAAGTCGGTGGTATTAATTACTAGTCAGTTCTTTCTTGTGTGAGACTTAATTCCCAGAGGCAGACGAGCTGGAGAAGAGATTTTGGAAAATGGAGCCTGGCGAGGACATCTTGAAGGAGATAGATGCCATTCGCTGCAGGGGAAGTCGCACTAGTCAATGGTGGTGGAAACTGATTTAATGCTGTGAAGCTGAAGCGCTTGCAAACAAAAAGTGCGAATGCCCTTATATGACTTCTGCTTGACGTAATTTCTTGCCAGTTCTTGCCTGGCACTGAAAAATAAGCCTTCTGCCTTTTGCCTCGCCTTGCAGGCTGCCGTCGCTGGTGGCCGAGCCTCTGTTGTT